ACTTCCTGGTACAGAATATAACCATTCATAGTCACAAAACAAAAGAACATTAGGACTTTCATTCATTTAGAATTGTTTTTGCAAAATTTCAAAACAGATTAATTGAAGAGATTAGCAATGTTACTGACGTTTCTACTTGCGACATATTTTTCATTACAAATAGAGGCAAAATGAGAAATGTCTTCATATCATGTAAACTTCGTGGTAATATTTGTTTGTTTATAGATAAACAAAATTATTATATAGCATGGGGTTTTCTGTAACTGGCTGAGAAAGAAGAAACTGAGAACCCTGGAGACACCAAATACTCTAAAGGGGCCATGGTAACTAGTAGTCTAGTTACCGTGGTAACTATACCATGAGAACCCTGCAGGAGTAACTAGTGTACTAGGATAATTTTAATGAAGTACTCTTACTTCACTAAAATTATCCTAGTACACTATAGGCTTATAGGTCTCTACCTATAAGCCTAAACCGGGGCGAATTTTGAAATAAGATTTCCTCCTGTGAATAGTGACTAATTCTTATAGCTATAAGCTATTTATACTCACTGATTAATAGCCTGTCTGGACACTTAATAAGGAAATGATTACACGGTGTCTTAGTCCTGAAATTCTGCACACTATCTAAGAGCTGAAACAATTTCCATGCGCCTGCGACACTTGAAAATAATTTTACCTTCGAAAAGATTGAAAATGCCTATGTTTTTTTTTTGGAGTCTACTATAACCGTGAGTCTTAAGGAAATATCTTACAAGTTTAGATCATTCAAATATAAAATGCAGGAAAGGTAACGGGACAAAACTAGTGTTTAATTTTAGAGATCGTGGGAACCACAGGTGGACTCGTGGGCGTTATCTAATCTGATACGGGTTAATGTGACAGTTTCACCAAACTATACACAAATGAGACGCACGCTTGTTTCGCGAACTCCCTCTCTGTTGTATTTTGTGTTAATTTTCCTGTATATGTGTTATTGTAATGTATTTTTACAAGGTTTTTCTATTACAACAGATTTTTCTACCAATGAAGAGCCTATATTATTATAGTAGATGGCTTGTTGCTTATCGATTGGTCAGAAAGGTGGCGTGACTGCTGACTATAAATGGTAGACCCTGAGACCAAAGTTTTCGTCCCATTACATAAGTATAAGTTCGTGCTATTTAATGACATCCCGAATACGACAGAAGTATATAGAGCGAATATGGATGGGGTCGTCAATAGAGGGCGCCCTAGACTAAAATTTTTTATTTAAAAAGGGGGAAAATAATCGAATGTCTTCTCCAGCATGGGTGAGGCGGTTGATTGAAAACCACCCCGTTCCTACTCTCGCACTTCGAGCCAGAGTCCCGGCAACTTGCTAAGTCCTCTGTGGCTCCGTATCGGCATCAGCCCTATTGGGCCCCAACTATGATGGTAGCGACGGCTGTTTGGGGCGCGCGTGAAATGCGACGCGCCGTACGCTCGGGTCTGGTTCGGTAGACGCATAAATATCGACCAGATTGGTGATATATTAAAGAAAGGCCAAATTAAAAATACCCTTAACCAACGAGCATGCATGATAATACTAATGACTGTTGAGGAAGAAGTATGTAAGAATCGTTGGTGTTCCATAGTCTCTGCCTACGCCCATGGGAGACAGGCGTGAGGCTATTTAAGTATGTATGAGTAATTAAACAAAATAAGTTAATAAAAGGATTGATTGCATCAATAAATAAGTATAAAAAGTCAATATAAAAAACATGAATTTGTATCAAAACATTCCAGGTAGGAAGGTACTTACTAGTTAAACTTATATAGGTATTGCCTGCCATAGAACTTAATTGAAGAGCAACTGAGATCACCACCCGTTCATTCTGTCACGACCACACACAGATAATGAGTTGATTGTAATTTCTCACAGGCCTGCGGTCCAAATACTTAATCCTAGTTGAATTCTTAAAGAATGGACTGCAACTGGTCAATGTCGTCGTGACCCTGAGATTTAAGTCTTCTCATGCATGAGGGTTTGAAACCTAACAAGTACCAATATGACCTTTTTCGAGTTATATGTACTTTTTAAGCTTATTTATTTACCAATGACATACGGTGAAGAAAATATTGTTTTTTTATAAAGTGATCTGGTAATCGAGCAGACGGTTCACCTGATAGTAAGCAATGGGCGCCGCCCATGGACACCCGAAACACCAGAGGTACAAGTGCGTTGTCAGCCTTTAGGGGATTAGGAATTTGAGGATTGTTGGGGATCCGGGAATTGAGACATTGAGGAGGACAAAATACGTTGTTTCACGTCGGTTTTCTATGAGGCCGTAGTATCACTTCGGTCGAGTTGGCATATTCATGCCGAAGCATGGCTCTCCTACACTTAAAAAATCGTGAGGAAAGCTGAGCTTATAATTTCTAATTATAAGTTTCAAATCACCAATCCGCATTGAGCGAGCGAGAAGACTTCTTCCATCACCAGTAAAGACCTTCTATGGAATTTCAAGATGTACTTCAGCAGCATAATTCCTGTTATATGTATGTATTAACATTACTATCTTAGTAAGTAGTGGCCCCCTCACTATAATGTATTATATAAGGAGGGCACTTATCAATAACGACGCTGTCTATCTGTCGTCCTCTAGTGTACACACGTTGTGCGTTCTGCACATCATTTTAATAAATTAAAGTAAAACCAATCCGAGTATTAATTATTAATCAACCAACATAACAATTCCCACATGATTTCATCAGGAACCTCGATTATTTTCTTCGTTTACCTATTCTAGTCTTGCTTGCATTCTCCGTTTTTCCTGTTTGTCACTACTTATAGTCCCGTTAGTACATTGAACTTGAAATTCATGTGCATTTTCGATTAAGCCAGGTACACACGTACCGACGTAATTGTTCATGCTAATTCAGTTTAGTTTAACTCAGCTAGTTAGGTTTTAATTAGCCGGTAGTTGTGTAATCGTTGGTATTAAGTGTAATGTCATGGTATAGATTATCTACACTTGAGAGTAAGGAAACGGAGCCACTAGCATTTTTTAAATTTCATCAAACCCCCTAAAACTTGAAAAAAATCCAATTTTTTGGATCACCTGATGGTAACCAATCGGCGTCGTCCATGGGCACTCGAAACACCAGAGGCGTTACAAGTGCGTTACTGGCGTTTTGACAATTAGGAGTTTGAGAATTGTGGGGGATTCGGGGATCGGGGAGACTGGGGAAAGGGGTAATTACCTTTCATATGACATATATACATTACAAATTAATAAAATACTTTTATCAGAAAACGTTTAACAAAAATTTAAAAAGAAAAAACGCATTTGCCTTCATTTCTTTGCACCTAAGTGTAAATTCGTTTAAAAAGTGATCATCATCATTTCCAGCTGTGAAACTACACTGGTAGACTAATGGACCTTCTCTACATAAAATAGGTCTTAATCTCAATAATTCTTCTGTAATTTTAAAGGTTCAGGTTTATTAGAGAGTGCTACTTCCCGGTCTGTGTTAAATGCGTAATGTAGTCCTTGGCACTTGAAACACCCACGTAAAGCGTAGGGGTGCTCAACCCTGTCATCATCACATCATCATTATCATCATAATCAACAGCCAAAAGACGTCCGCTCCTAAACAAAGGCCATAATCACATCTGAATAAGTTTAAATTATTTTTTTAAACGTTGCCCCACACTAGGATTTTCTCCTGTGTCGTGGGTGCGTTCACAAACGTACAAGATTACATACACACGACACCCAGACCCGGAACAACAATCTGTGGACCACACAAAGAGTTGTTCCGTGCGGAAATCGAACCCGCGATACTTTGCGCGCAGTCAGTTGCCCAACCACCGCGCCAACAGTGCAGTCATTAAATTAAATATTTAAAAAATTAAAGTAGCTGGACACAATTAAATGTATCATGAATAATGTTTTATCTGTTATAGATATTTCTGAGTTTGTTTCAGCATTTCTTCTCAAAGTACTCAGTTAGGAAATGTCGGCCTCATCGTTCGCTTGATAAAATTAACGTCTAAAAGTGCTGCCTTGTCGCCTATTCGCAGAAATAAATTCACTTGTTTCACTTGTTTCACTCACTATAAGTATGTCCAAGTGTGGGAGAGCCATGCTTCGGCACCAATATTCCGGCTCGACTTGAGTGATACCACGACCTCACAGAAAACCGACGTGAAATAACGCTTTTGTTTTGTTTCATCGTGTGAGCGAGATTACCGGAGTCCCAGTTACCCTCCCCCCTTCCTTGTCTCCCCAATCCTTGAATGCCCAACATTTTCATTTTCAAGTATTCAAAAACCGAACCGAATACTAATTTTTATTTTCTCCAAGAATATTATGTCATGTGACTTTTAAACATATACGGCAAAACGAATTAATAGAATTTGAGAGGAACTAAATTAACTTCGGTCCAAAAATTAACTGCATACTACAGAATATTTACAACCATAATATAAAACCCATTCAATTCAAAATACTACAAGTAGCGACATCTATGCGCCAAGGCACTAAGAATAAAACCAGTTACCTCTCGTTGAACGCTTATTCATATTCAAGTAACAACATTCATGGAAGGTATTCGGAACTGTGGTGTAGCTTAGAATATGGTACTAGTAAAGACTAAGAGATGGCGTCACCTGTTTCACAAAACCGTCTTCACTACCTCTACTTCTCCTTTAATGATTTTACGGACACAAATACTAATCTTTTTTTCGTAGGCGTCTACTGAACTCTCTAATAAGCCATAATAAACCCTAACTTACAATAACATTTAGGTCCACAATAATTCTTATTTAATTGTTTTTCCAAGTTATAAGGCAAAAGATTGTGAGGAGAGAGGAGTATCAACCATTAAAAAGACGATAATGTAATGATACTTTTATTGAAGGAAATAAACCGCACTAAGAATTTGACATTGAGGAGAACAGAAATATTCAACGTTTACGCAATTGTAGTACGCTACAATTGCGTAAACGTTGAATATTTCTGTATATTGAAAACGTTATATTTCTGTATATTTCTGTATATTGAAAACGTTATGCTTGGCCCTGGCCCTGGGCTTTGTGGTAGTATTATCCGAAGAGGGCGATTTTGTCAAATAATATTCACGATTCGTGAGTCTGATTTTCGTTACAAAAATTATGGCTGGTTTGCAATTATCTTGATCTTCAAGAGACCAATAATCTGAAAAAAAATGTACTCAAAAGGTGAAAAATATATTTACCATAGTAATTACATACTATGGCCAGTTATAGTAAATACCTACATTCGTCATCTTGTGGCGTGTTCTGTTCCTAAGGGCTACATTGTTGACGGTTATATTGTTGACAGAAACAGCCCAACAACAGTCTCCAGTTACTGTAACTTTTTTAATCTGGTTTCACCAACTTGCCTACCAAGCGTTGATCATGATGAAGGCAGAGCCTCAGTTGATAGCGTTAGTGATTTGACATTTTCAATATATCCATGTCTGAAGAGCTGTATTTCTTAAGTTCTTACAGCAATCCGAAAAGCAAGAGATTTCGAAAAAGAAAGAGATCCGAAAAGCGAAAGAGACGAATCGATAAATATAAATTAAACTAAGAAAACAGCAGGTAACCCAAGATATACTACATTACATTCGATTATTATTAATATTATAATATATTACATTAGATTATTATATATACCTCCGTGTCTAGCGCAGTTTGCTCCATAATAGGTGCACTTGTCAGGAAATTCGACAATTATATTCGTATCATAGTTGATGGCACAAACCTTGTCACCACCTTTAGTGCAATGCTTCTTTTTATCGCAATTATATAATGGGTATTTTTCTAAGTACTGAAATAAGGTGATAAGATACTGTAATCACTACCTTGCCATAACAAATACCAACCTACAGTACCTACCAACAAAATGAATTAAAATTACAAAAACAATCTAGGTCTTAGACAAAAGGGTCACAAGGAGTACAAATAATAAAAAAGACAAAGATGAAATAATAGTTTTATTCAATTAATCGCCCAAAGAACTTGACACAAGAGAACGGAAAGATTCAACGTATTAGCAAGTTTAACGTTATATTGAAAACATTGTGGTTTGCATTAGCCTTGGGCTTTATGGTAGTTCTATTCTTATACAATGAGATCCATTTCGTCGCATAGGCATGTAAATCGAATGTATCGTTCTTCTTCCCAAAAAATACGGTGTCACTGCAATTACCTTCAACAGGCCAAAAATCTGTGAAAATTGGAATTATAGTCAAAGACAAAACGCATTTAATAATTTTATTACTGTCACGAGTTTATTGCTGTTACTGTCACGAGATAAAGACGATAATGACAATGATGAAGATAAATTCTCGTAAAATGTTGATGGCGCTAATGATTTGGTTGTTTAACCTCTAAAATGTTCAATATGTAAACTAAAAAGCAACAGGCTTAACGACCGATAAATATGTAACTGCAGCAAAGAAAACAATCACACAAGTTTTATGCAAACTCGGGTTTATAAAAATGACCCCATTACATTTGACAGATGGAGCCCAGTAGGCCGACAAAAAACATTATACAAACCTCCCTTCCCATCGCAGTTCGCTTCATAAAACGTACACTTGTCAAAAAATTGTACAGTTACATTCGTATCATAGTCGATGGCACAAAATTTGTCTCCACCTGGAGTGCAATAACTCAGCTTGTCGCAATTATATAATGCGTATTTTTCTCTGTACTAAAATAATAAGAAATCTGATTCAAAATTCATGTAAATGATGAGTCGCGGATTACCTAATTGGCCAAAGGTGCCGACTACTTGCTTTTTACTTTGTGTATAATTTTATGAATAATTTACGTTGGATGAATTTACGTTTAATTACGTTATTTAATTTGGTTGTTCATAGCATTCAACAGTCCATTTCTATTTTTTGGCATTAGGAATTTGAGGATTGTTAAGGATTCAGGGATTGGAGAAAGGGGGGGGGGGTTGTAATTGGGCCTCCGGTAACTTCATTCACACGACGAAACACAACATAACATTGATTCACGTCTGTCTTCTGTGAGGCCGTGGAATCACTCTGGTCGAGCCGGCCCATTCGGGCTAAGCATAGCTCTCCTACACTTAAAATGTAATTAAAAACTGTTGTTTTGACAGCCAATACAGATATTATAAATAGATTTCTAAAATAAAACAAAAGTATTGAAAACTTACATTTTATTTTAGAGGTATAATAATAATTTCAATTGTAATGTAGAACGTGAGCTGTTATATTGTCTTATGGGTATTTTTTGAAATATGAAAATATTGTAGATTCTGGTTTTTGTGGCGTTTGTCGAGTTCAATTTTCGTTTCACAGACGACTTGAGGTACCAGGTGGAACCCTGAAATTAAGGCTTGATATTATTCCTTCAGAGTATAAATTACTAAGTACCGTTTAACAAAATAAAGTAAACAATGATCTGAATCTGGACTAAGTCAATATTAATGGTAAAAAAGGGATTGTAAGTCAATAATAAATAAGCAAACTTTTTTTGATTTATTCATTTTATTCAAGGCAAAAAGTATCGGGTAGATAAAAAAGCGAAACATTTATAGTACTAACTTCCAGCTTTGAGACAATTGGCCTTGAACAACGCGCACAGATCTTCAAAAACCGCAAGGTTTGGACTGTTGGGGTCATAACCGCACACTTTAGATCCCCCGGGGGAGCACGACTTGTGCTTATAACAGAAGAACTGTGCTTCACGCTCAGCTAGCACTTTCTCTGACTAAGAAACACCGATAATATAAACTCAAATTTATTAAAAAAAAATTTTAGCAAATTAAAATTTATAATATATTTTATACATACATAATATCAATAAAATATATATATAAATAGTTCAAAATTACTTTTAATTACTTACTGGTCTATATTGTTTTGTTGTCCGCATCTTACTTGATACAAAGAATAATACTGTAACATATATTACAAAATTAATTATATATGCTCAAATTTTTTAAGAAATGTACAAATATATAATATAAAATATACACTCGACAAAATTTAATGTTGAACTGAAATTTAAAATAACCCATTTTTTAATGTTGTCCACAGTAAATATAAACATATTTGAGTAAGCAATCTTCTGATGGGTCAAGATTCAAATTTGTCGACAGTACATAACAGGTAGATACTCACCGAAAACAAAAATAATGGGATATGTATTCATTACCAAAACAAATGTACCATCATACACAACAATTTAATATTTATTTATTGGTCACCATTTATATACTTTCTTAGCACATTGTATCCATTTAGCCGGTGAGAAGTCTGAAATGAATTGACCAATTAATTTAAAACATAAAAATACTCGCGTCTACTAACAAACAATTTGTTAAAATATCAGCGTTTTTAATGTTTTTAATTTTACGACATTTTATTAAACCCGACCCCGATTAAATTAATAATTTTCCAAGAAAATCTAATTACCTAATTTCACCACAATTTTTACCTCAGAAAATAAACGTTAAGAAAAAAAAAACTACTATTTAAAAAGGTATTTTAGTAATATTACTTCTGTTACCAATGGTTGGAAAAGTAATAAAAAGTAAGTATATAAAATAAAATAAATAATAGAATGCTACCACTCGGTATGCGGAATATCGAAATGTTTTATTGTATTTAAATGGTACTTGAATAAGAAAAAAATGTGATAAAATACTTAAGGAAATAAAATATAAATACTATAAATATAACCTACAATATCCATATTATTTAAAAAAAAATTAAGGGGGCAAAATCATTACATGACTTCTCCCGCCTGGATGAGGCGGGAGGAACTGTCAGACTCTTACTGACTAAAAACCACCCCGTTCCTTCTCTTGCACTTCGAGCCGGAGCCCCGGTAACCCGTTAGGTTCTCTGCGACATATTATGTACATAGGATTGTGTCTCCAAGGCTAAAACTAAACATAACCTAACAAATATAATTTTCGAAATATTCAGCAGTTACTCAAAAACCGCTATTGTACCATTTTTACCATTCTTTATATACGCCTAACTATTGCAGAGAAACACTATTCGAATTTGAAATTCAAAATACTTCGATAAAGCTATCATCAAACATAAGGGGCACTCGGTTCTCTTACTTATCAATCGTAATCCAACATTTTTATTTTTCACAGATATTCTACAGAAGAAAGTTCGATGGGATTGACATCGTCATATAATGTGTACAAAAATGCCTTAAAATAAATGAGATAAAAAAAAGAATATTCTATAGAAATCATCTCAATCATCGTTTTGGATTTAGATCGATTACATAGGTATTTTAAAATCGGCATTTGGATACTTTTACAACACATCTCTAAATTACAGTACTGTTAGGTGCCACTTACAGGTTGGCGAAAACTGAAATGTCGTTAAGTGTTACCTGTCTTAGTTAGGGGTACCTTTATTAGTGGTTCTGATACTGTCCGTCTGTTGATAAAATTGTGACGTATGACCGCATCAGTCTTAAGCATAAAGAATTGGTTGACTCCATGTAATGATGCGAGACGTTATAAAAGTCGCCCTTGTTGTGTTGTCTACGTCATTTGATATAGGTAGATTGATAGTTAGGAACCTCTTTAAATATTAGGAAAGGTTGGACAAAACGGGCATCAATCTTTTTAACTCACCGTTGCCTTGTTCACAATTATGCTTATACAAATCGCAGGTAGTGTGAAATACTCTCCGTTGCTTTCGTCTTTTGTCTACACCGCAAATCTTCTTACCCGGCGTGTGGCAGTATCTTGCTCGCCAACACCAATGTTCGTTGATGACCTTCGCGTGCCCGGCTTCAAAGGGCGTTGTATCATCTATTGATTGCTACAAAAATGTAAGAGTTGGTTAGCAGTCGGTATTAAGTACTAATGTATACAGGACTACTCATCAAACTATACAAAACCAGTATAACCTGACCTGTCAATTGAGTGAAAGGATAACATAAAGTGAGGCCATAATAAACTGGGTTTGTATACCTGATATGTCAGGAGAAACCTCCGAAAAGCGGCCAGCTTTTAAAGTAAGTTCTAGAGTGTGGAAGTTTTAGAATAACTCCACCCAATCGACTATTTTCAGTACCCTGTACAATGCCTGTTAAGGGACATTCTTGGGTAAGTAATCATATGTTTTCTTTGTCTGTTTAATTAATCTATAGTCACACAGTAGATGATCAACACGATTGTTGAACATAAAATCTATATAGAAACATGTATAATATGATGATCTCTACAGATTCGGATATAGTCTCGATAGACGATAATCAATTTATAAAAATCTAAATCTCTATTTCCACCGATTCACATCACATGATCACATCAACAGCCTATAAGTGGTTAGTGGTGATCAAAGCCCTCTTCTCGCACGGAGAAAGCATTTTAGCATTAATTACCACGTTTGCTCAATTCGCCGTGCAAGCTTCTTAAACGTCCTGGCTACCACGACATTTTTCAACGGCTTGCAAACCAACTTTCCCCGATTGAAATATTATGGTGGGACTAACATCATAACTATTGATAGGTGTTATGTTTTCACTTAAGCTTATCCCTTCGGATAGCAAGAGGCATAATGTTATAACCCTTTTGTAATACTCTTTGCAACCACCATTTAACGCTACACCGTTCAAAATTGTGAATCCCAAGCGCGGCTTGAGATTAGTCCAGTTTCCTTCTCAAAAAGTTCTTTGTACCATGTAAGTAGGTAAATAAGGATCGATTTATGTATATCTGATGGAAAATCGTCGCATATCATCGGTTGCGTGCCGTCAGAACAAACAAATATAATGATGCAAAAGACTTTTCACATCAAACCAGCAGCGTTGGTGTTTCTACCGTAAGTTGATTATACGTTCGACGTATTTTCCATGATGAGAAAGATTCTTAAGCGTTCACACTCATTCATAATAAATTTTTGTGTAGTGTTTTGAGAATGACAACTGTACCTACTAGCCATTTTAACCGTTGCCCCATATTTGAAAAATCTCCTGTATTATGAGAGCGTTTACAAACAGACAAATTCACATCACACCCAGACCCGGATGAACAATTTGTGGATCACACAAATAGTTGTTCAGTACGACAAACGAACCCGCGGCCGCTCCACCTTGCGCAACAGCGTAGCCACTGCACCAACCATGTAGCCATATAATGATAGATGTGGGCTTACGTTAGTCAGACGGCAGACGTACTTGATACCTAATATAAGGTTTTAATTGTTCTACCTCTAAATATAGACTAGTGGACTGAGGGTAGGGAGACCTTTGCGCAGCAGTGGAACAATTGTGGTTGAAAATAAAATAAATGATCTTAAGTTGTATCGGTTCACACCTCATGACCAACATTTTTTATAGCTCAATGGCTAAAGATAAATCTGCATATATTTGGTAAGTATATTATAGTTGGTAAATACTCGTAAAATATTATAGTTGGTGCTGTATGTATTTTAGAAATAAACTTTTTATTACTATTTTGAATAATTAAAAAAAAGCCATTCAATTTATTTCGAATCCTTTATTTTCTGATCGTCGCCTGTATTCTTATATTCATTTTGATTTGAGTAAAACCTTAACGGCTTAGGTTTCCAATTATTCATTTTCATTTTCAAATTAGTATTATCATCATCGTTATTGTTGTTATCATTATTAAGGTAGTTTAGCTTAATACATCTTTTTTCAGTTGTTACCTTATACGCTGAAACATAAAACAAGGATTAAAATAAATACATCAGGGTTTGGTTTTATAGAGAAGTCACAAGTACAACTATCAACCACGAGATCTCAGATTTGATTTAAAGAAAAAAAGATTTCGTGATTTCAAACACTTATTTTTTTATTGGGATAACCCCGCTACAGCCTCCCAAAACCGCTGCAATTCTTGTAAGCCAGGATCTACAGTAGATGTAACCATAAAAACACCGTAACACAAGTTCCCGCAACGAAGTGAATCAGAAGATATTATAAAAGGAGAAGAAAAAAAACGATAGTTTCCACTTCCTTCGGTGAATTACTGCAAAACACAGATTGAATTAAGCCTAAAGACACAAAAAGAGACAGGTACAACTGGGAGGTGAGACGAAATGAATCACAAAGAAAGACGCCTAATGGTACTGTTATTCTCTGAATAGTTGGACAAAGGTGCACATAATTATGTAACACCCAATTTCACCAGCTAAAATTATGAATCCCATTTAGAAATGTCTGACGATAGCAGAATATACAACTATAAAGGGTCGCCGTTACCGAAATTGGTAACCTATTGCATAAACTGGCACAATTCCACACTCTATGCTACTACCGTGGCTCCGGCGCTAAAGAAAAGTTGGAACGGGGTAGTTTTTAGACTCTGAGCTACTACGACAAATTTCAAACCAGATACTCTTTGCAGTCGCGCTTGTTGCTCCAATTATAACGAGACAAATAATTTGAGATAATTTTTTTACCGAACCATGAATGGTGGGTTAGGTTCAAAAATTTTTTTGAGAAATTTTTTTTAAAAATTTTTGAGAAATAACCACACAGACGACAAACAAACTTACAAGTATTTTGGAGACAATTAAACTCATGAATATCACACATATCCAAAAATTTTCTTAGTCGTCCGTTTTCGTCTACACCGCATCTTTCTATTCCACTGTGCATGCAAGTCTTCGCATTGTAACAATTCTGAAACCACAAATAAATATTGTTATATCTTGAATTTGTAGGCAGAGAAAAATGTATTTACCACTACCCTTACTGCACCTACTCTTTCTCTTGGTATCGTAGAAGTCGTCTGAAGAACTACTGAATTAACAGAGACCGGGTTGCAGCGCTTTCTGATAAGCCTGGTCTTTGTGTGGTGTGGGAATATCTTCTTTCGAGGAGTTTTCTTTCATAGAAGTAAGAAGTTCATAGTCCCACAGGTATCAAAAGGGGTACGATGACTGACTGTATAGTCATTTGATATGACTGTATACAGTCACGATAGTTTGATATATTAATTCGATGATAGAATATATTAATCTAATAGATGGGCGGTATCTATTGTTTGACTAAATATGACACTTTCTCTGTGCTTGTAGTCAGCTGGGCTATTCTGTAATTTTTAATTCGAAAGATCGAGGTGGACTCGATCGCGGTCCCGGCATGTTATTAGTCGTGAGAATAATCTCCACCAATGACGGGCGAGAATGCAATTGAACTCACTTTGAGAGTTCAAATTGAAATCTTACAGAATAGTCAGGCTGTTCTGAGTTAAGTCCAATTTGACTAAATGTGAACATTCGACATGGATCGACATAAGACGGTACTACGTCCTATACTTTTGTTGATACCACATACTTGGTTGCAAACGTTGTCAGACGAGGCTCTTGACAAAAATATCACAAATACAAAAAATCTACTTATCTTCACGTTTGTGGCTAATTTCTCGATACCAAAATAAAACACTAGCGAAATTGTAAAAATGTGTCCTACTAGTATAGTCAAAATCATTAAATTTTAAAGTATAATATGAAAGGTTTTTATAAGAATTAGAGACGAAACACAACAGAACGTTGTTTCACGTCGGTATTCTGTGAAGTCGTGGTATTGCTCCGATCGAGCCGTCCCATTTATAACGACAAAAGCTCTCCTGTTTTTAGAATAAATTAAGTAAATTCGCGACTAATACTTACTCTATTGCTCTCTGATTGCCAAACGCTGATAGTTAACACAATGGTAACTGTAAAATAAAGTGTATATTGAAAATCTTTTTCTTCTTTCTTCTGGATTTACATTATAAATCCCGTGTAAAAGGGTCATAGTCATACTGGATACAAATTCATTGCCCAGAAATCGAACCTTAGATCCTTGCTCTGCAGTCACTCTTACAGCCGCTTCACTAATCTTAGTTAGAATTAAGAACTAAGAATTGTATGCGATAAAACACTGCCTCTGGATTTTGTTGCAAATCAAAAGGGTATAATTAATGAGCAAGCACGGAAGTTGAACTCGCGAATTTACTAATTGACATAGTCGTGTTTGTGGTACAACTAGATTCCATCAAATGTTTTGGAAGTGACACTGACTAAATAATCCTTTTATGAACTACGTTTAAAAAAACCGATTTCAACCCCCTCTTTATTTGTGGTTGGTATATATTTTTTTATATTTGTATAAAAAGACGTCGCTCCACACTAGAAGTTTCTCTTGCGTCGAAACAACAATTTGTGGATTACACAAAGAGTTGTTCCTTTCGGGAATCGAACCCGCGACACGTTGCGCGGCAGCCGGTTGCCCAGCCACCGCACCAACCGTGCAGACCGTATATTAATATACTAAAACCTTCTCCTATTGGTTCTGACAATAGCGAGATATTCGCGTACAAACACACATACAAACAGGTCAAACTTAGAACCTCCTTCTTTTTTGAAGTTGGTTAAAAATAATATAGTTATGTATAAAATTCTTACCAATAGAAAAAATTACGAAATGCATTTCTGATTCTTTAGCTTCAAAATCAAAATGCCTTTAGGTAATCCATATTCTTGCTATTTATTATTGTTTCTGAATTTATGAGGCTGTAACACTTATATCCGCAGTCATTTTTAACAACATGTTTATTGTTCTTGCGAAAATGTAGGAAATGTGAAATTTGGTTTCGGTAAGTTGGTTTTTTATTTTAACTTTTAACTGAAACCGAATGAATATACTCAGACCCCATACATTTACTTATAAAGATTGATACAAATATTGTATTTTAATACACATCCTATTACCCAAGAAGGTAAGGATGAATGTAGAATTTACTCATCGTTTAATAAAATAATAATTATTATATAACGGAACGAGTAAAATAACAAGTAATAATACACCCTATTATTTAACTAATCGAAACCCAATCTTCCCCCACCATCAATCTCCGAATCCCCATTTCAATCTCCAAATCCTCAACGGACTTATAACACCTCTGATGTTATTTATTTTCAGAATTTTCAAAATTACAAAATTTTACACACATGGTTGTGTGTGCAAAATTTATCCTATATACGACCATGCTTGGAATTTTATTTGTACATACGGAGTCTAGAAAAAAGAGTAAATATTATGGGGTATGTGTATTTTTTTTCTTCTTTGGCAACTGAGTCTCCAAAACGATGTTGTTGACTATACTGCCAGTGTCGAGTAGAAACGGTAAAATTAATGAACCGTCGAACGTGGGGTATATGTTTATGTTTATTTGGAAAATGTCCGTTTTTTTAATATTCCTTTACAAATAGGCGGTTTTCATAAATATCTAAGTGGCCATCTTAGGCAGGCTATTTAAAGATGACTATGAGATCAACATCAGTTTATCCATTGGTAGCTCGTCGTAGTTATAGGATTAGAATTTAACATACATATATAGAATAACAGAGACCATGTATTAAAAGTTAAACGTGGATATACTCAAGAACTATTAGGCTGACTCGATAGGACTGATACCACGGTCTCATAGAAAACGGGCGTGAATCAATGCCCTGTACTTCGCCTAGTGAGTGAAGTTATCGGAACCATAATCCCGGCAATTCACTTGCAACACCTCTGGTTTTAGTGGTGTCCATGGGCGGCGTTGATTGCTTAATCTGAATCTGTCTGCTCGTCTGCCGTATCTTATTAAAAAGGTTATAAAAATGTAACTGGGTCCAAAAAAATGAGGCCACAAGTTTTGAATGCCTATCTTGTTCTTACCAGGGCACTTACTCTTGAAACCAAATTCAATGTCAATGTAATTTCAATCCAATTAAATTTCAATAGTTATTCAACTGATATTAAATGCTTTCTTATGTAAAAAAAACTCATTAGTTCATTCAATATCCTTGTAATACGGATGCAATGAATGGTAGTGTTGCAACGCAAGAATAAGAAACACAATATGAATGTGGATATCGATCGTAATTATATTTAAGAGCTTTGTTTTTTAGATACCCTGTTTAGATGCAACAATTTGTGCTCACACTAAGAAACGAGTCTGTGGGATAATCCATAAAACTGGAGAAGTTCGATGGTTCTTAGACAAATGTGATATATCAGAATTTAATTGCGAATATCGCACTAGTAAGTATTCTTATTAAATAGAGCATCATCCCTTACAATCTTAGATAATATTCTGGCTTCTGTATATTCTGTATATTCTATTCTATCTGTAATGACTTTAAATAATTATCAATGTTTCGTGTAACTAGATAATATTATAGTTATAAATATTACTAAACTTAGCTTTGATTGCGTTGTATAGGAATTCCTGTAAATTATCCATTATGTCCTACTTTTTTAACAGCATTTCAACTATTTCAAAATCTATGTCCAACGCAGCTTTAGCGTCGAATAATGTTCAATTGGAGTTATAATAGTTTAATCAAGTTTGTTTGACGTAGAGCTGTATAATAGATTTGATAATATAATAAACCCAAAATCGCGGGTTATTCACGTGAATATACTGAGACAAGCTCTACTAGTTTCAGAGGAGCTGTTCCTTATGAGCAGCGTGCGCAGTCGCGGTGATGTCACGCAGCCTACTCTGACACGCTAACGCCAGTAGAGCTTGTATCATACATTTACGTGCCCGCGGTTTTTATACATCGGTATCTATAGACATATCTAACAATATTTAATATAATAAAATAATTGTTTCAGAATTTAAAAAAACTAAAAAGAGAGACTGCAGACATGTACCGCTGTTATAAAAATTCTTCTCATACGTAAACCAATATTTCACTTAATGAACATAAGAACAGAAGAACTCATATACCACTTGAATTTATTCTAAAACTAAAATTTATAATTAATTACAATTAACAATAGTTTTGATCTCATAATTTCGGTTGGCACGAAGAAACGACGGAGAAATCTGGAATAGAAGTTATAAAATTAAAACATGAATTAAATAAGGATAATAAAACAATAGCATGCGATGTTTTTCTCCTTCCAGATACGAAAACTCAAGAAACAAATACTTACTATATTTCCAATAACAATTGACGCGTAGTAAATGACAAAAATCTTCGAAGCGACCGTAACCAAATTCTTCGTCAAATCCACAAACAGGATCATCTTTCTTTTGGCAAAGTAAAGCTATTGGACACCAGGGATTAACTTTATGTTCCTCATTTTGTTGATCCGATCCAACCGTAGAATCATCAAGCAATCTTCGTGATCCAGGCTGAAAAGATAGAAAATTTCATATATTCTTTTACTTATATCTCCAAAACACATTTTTCTTATCATGTATTCTACAAAGACGAAATATTTAAGAACAAAATTTTCTATCCCATCAACCTGAATAACAGTTTAGAAAAACACTTTTGTACAGAGAATAATTACTTTATTAGTGTGCAGTGATTGAATACGATTGATAAGTGCATGCTCATCTCTTGAAGCATTAAGTGATTACTTAGTTTTAATATTAAATAGTACTGAAAATTAGTATCTCCAAGAGAATCACACAGCACTCACCGTGGAAGGAGTGGGTTTTACTTCGATAATGGGAGTTGGATCCGTACTACTGATGACCTCCTTCATGAGCAGGTCTTTGGCTAGCCTGCCATACTTTGGAATATTCTTTCCAAGTTTAACTATAGGATGATCATTTGCATTAATATTCACTTTGGGTTTTGATACCTTTTCTGGTTCGGCTTTAGTCGGCATTTTTGGTTTTTCAAGACCCTTGCTTAAGTTGTCTATTAGTTTCTTGATCATATCGCCAGTGTTGTCTACAGATGTGATCAAATGTTCCAATGCTTGATTTTGATGCATTAATTTTTCTTCTATGAAGTTGTAAAAATTTTCCGCTGAATTGTCGCTCTTATCGATTTCTCGCTTGTGAATACCCTGTAAAGGAAATATTAATCAAATGTTAATTACAGAACCCGAGGAGATTGTGTTTTAATTACGAAATATACATGTTACATAATAATTATATTTTACCCCAAAATATGAAAAGAGGCAGAATATTAAAAGGACCTTTACAAATAATTGTTGGAATTTGACTATTGGAAAAGTTGTTTCAATAAAATCAAATGTCGTCTCGCTTTAATTAATTTTCAAATTATATTTTAATACTTACCCTAATATGAATAGGGTTTTTAGCGTGCAATTTTTCAATAAGAGCCATATTTGAATAGACTGTCCCGGCAAATACCACAAAAGCTGAAAATATAAAAAGTCCATTATTTTCACAAAATAATTTGTTTCCGTTTATTTATTTTCAAAAGAAAAACGACAACGATACAATCTCCGTCGTTGATAGCTATTCGGGAAATAATAAAGATTTTCATTAAAATTCTCATTTGCGATTTATCGATTGCCCGTTTTTAATATGAATTTTCTACTAATTTGGTCCTTGTGTCCATGAATTAAGGTACAAAAGCGATCTTACCGATAACTAAGGGTCTCATGATGCGCACTTGTGATCCGGGACGCTACAAGTAGGTCGGCCGTGGTGCTTGCTCCACTTATAGTGTTGGTAATTGACAACTAGAGAAAATTTTCTTGATACTTGATAAAAAAATGTGTTTGAATTTTTTGGATAGTTTAGAATGACCATATGGAGATGATTAATAGCTTTTCATTACGTTCGAGGATGGAGGAGGAAGATTCATTATGAGGGAGGTCATTATTATTAAACCGCTCCAAGAAATAAACATAATGTACATATTGAAAGAACTAGCCATTTGAAGTAATAGTTAATATAGTGCATGTGCATATAAATCATGATGCGTGTGCATAAAAATGTATGGAAATGAATCCGGAATAGATGTTTTGTTTTAAGCAACATACCTACATAAATAATTATGTAGATAGAATTATAAATGTTGTGGATTCTGTACCTATTATTGACGGCGGTTCAGGGACTGCAACTGCATTTGACTGTTATAGTAATTATGACATTTCGAAAAACACAATTAATGTTGACGACAATTCCACTGAAACACAGTTTTTTCTCTGAAACCCACGTAAACGTGCTTCATCAGAATATTGCTGGGCTATTAAATAAATCAGATGCACTACTTGTGGGTTTGGAGGAACTAAGAAAAAAAAATAAACTCATTGATGTTATATGTATAACTGAGCATTTTATGATGACTGGTCATGAGAAGCTCTTAAATCTGCCAAACTATACATTAGCTTCATCTTACAGTCGTAGTAATAGTAAAAGAGGGGGTACATGTATTTTATTAAAAAATGGACATAATTTTAGAGAGCAAACAGACATTAAAGATTTTTGTTTGGATTGTGTGTTTGAATGTAGTGCTGTGGAACTACTTGACTATAAAACTGTGATTATTTGCGTGTATAGAGTGCCAAATCAAAATAATTTATATACCTTCTTTAATAGACTTGAAAAACTTTTGACATATATTTCTAATCGTAATTTTAAAAATATTTTAATTGCAGGTGATTTCAATATTGACATTCTTAAAAATAATAATGTTACGCTTGACTTTGAATGTTTATTG